GGCGATGACCCCCCCGAAACGAGATCCTGGCTGCGCCACTGGTCGTACCCATGGTGCATTGTTTGGGACTACGGCCGGTGTGGACTTCAATGACTGCTAAGTTAATTAAATGAAAAAATGGCCAGTCTTCCAGCGATGTGTTTTGTATAGCTTGGGGATACAAATAACAAAGTAACAATATGCACGATACAGGAGAAAAAGGGAAGACGAGGATTGACAACGTTAAACACATATTACCTTAGCCGACGGGGTATAAATCGGTAACTCCAGCTAAAATATCCAGGTATGAAATCAGTCTCTTCGGACGCCAATACCCTACCGCGGAATCAGGGACCAACTACAGGGTGGGGCAGCATAATCGGGAATAAATATCAAACGGGATTATTTGGTCATGAATTTAAAAATACAGCTCCAAGCACTATTTTAGCAACATCCCATCAATTGGTCACCTTTTACCTATCTCTCATCCTATGTGACCGCCCTCGGCGTCGATGACCTTCTCAAGGCGGGTCCAAAAGCACGCGCATGCACGTGCAACCTCCTGCTTGTCCATGATCGCCCATCAGCATCGTACCTTGCACTGAAGACCGTCTTTACTGATGATAAGTTGTTCATTAACCTTCTACCAAAAAACGCTCCATGTAAAGAATTTGGTCGGATTTAAATCGGCGGAGTTGAAGGACCAGAAGTTTTTGGTTCATCTCAGGTGGAGGTGCCCTACACAATAACATGTCGTCCTCACTGCAGTACCAGCACGGACAGAGTCCTCGTAAGACGTGATCTGGACCGTCAGTGATCCTCTGTTCCGACGGCTCCACATGAGTCTGCCACAGTGCGGATGTATTTACCAGAGGTGCTCATTTTATCTGGGCTCGATGAAGTAGGGTGCACCACGTGCACCTCCCTTGAAGACCACCCATAGGTCCATCACCCCAACAGGATGTTTACTTTGCATGACCGCTGGAATATTCTCGATACAATCCCCTATATGGCTTGCCATTCTTTTTTGTCGTATTCCAGTCGGTGGTGAGATTTTTGGTCGCTGAAGTTTTGAACATTGTTTCTTTTTAATATGCTCCAGAGCGTCTTCCTTATATTCAAGTGAGTCATCTGTATGTCCTCTGCTAAGAGTTATTTTACGACGATTACGTTAACCTTTTGTCCTAAGTATTCCCACACAATCCTTATTGTCCGTGATAACACGTTGACCTGTCCATCAACCTTTACGTGGAATTGCAGGGGTTTCAACAAAATGTTCTTGTTTTACTCGTTTAACATTAGTGTCTATGGGCGCGCGCAAAGCACTTGGAGCACCGTCGAACTATTTTGCTGCTCTTTTCCAGGAGGTTGCATGCTCATGGATGTAGTCATGTTAGATGATGCACAACTTTTGGGCGTTTCATTGCCATGCTATAATTTATCAAAATAATGTCATGCCTACTCATGATTAGAGCCCAAAAAGCATTCCCGATTATGCTGCCCCACCCTGTATGTGGAGACCAGCTGATCAATACATCTCTAATGCATAAAGATATTAATAATATAATATGCATGCAGTACATTTATATGACCCTTGACCCCCAGTGAACCTTGACCCCCGGGCCACGTTTCGCTCCGCTAGGCCTCTATGCCGACAGCGGCAGTGCGGCGACTGGTCCGGCGTCGTCTCGGCGGCCGACGCTATCTCGTCTGTCCAGCGGATATCCTGACTGTCGCCACCCCGCCCCCCTCTCTCGTCCCCCCCAGGCAGCGCTCGTGGCTCTGACTCACTCCCCTCCCCGTGCCATGACACCGTGAGGACTCACGGCTCACGAGGTCAGCTCAGTCAGTCGCGGGAGCTCCAGACAATACGCTCCATTGGGGGCTGTATCGAATGGCCAAAAGACGGACACTCTTGCGCCCACAGAGGTGATTCGAGTCGTCGACATGCGGTATGCAGCTTAGTTCTCTCGCAACTCGCGAGGATGCAATCCTTATCATTGTCTCATCCCTGAAGCTCGCGTGTATACCTACTGCGACACTGGATGCAGTCAGGACAATAAAATTGTCAGCAATGGGTAGTTGGGGTGCACGCTAACTGGCCGTTTATTGGAATGACACTGCCATTCCTATGTTGGAAGGTCAGCACTCTGCCTCTGATCAGCCCCATGACCTCGGCACTGGGCGCTAGGCAGTGCACGATATATAAACCGGCGCTTGATAGTTAATCGTTCTTCAGACCCGATCTCTGGCGCTATACACTCAGCACTCAAGACCTCAGCACTCGTCCCTCGTACTTATGTAGACACTCGTATCTCGCCCTTCAGCTCCTGCCGCGGCGCCGCGCCGGCCCGTGTCCACTGCAGCGTGACGCGGCATCCATTGACCCATCCTCCGCGCCCTGGGTCGCCTGCAGGCTGCCGCGGATGAGGCCATCTCGCTCCCCGCCGTCCCTCAGTCATTACTCGGACCGGCGTGTCCTTCAGCCCGCCCGGCCCGCCGGCCCTTAGAGTACACATAGCGACGAATACGTGACCCGAATTCGGCCGGCCCGTAACGCCGTGGAGAACGGGCGTCGTTCCGACGTTTGGTGGTGGCCGGGGGGTACGTTTAACGCCGACTGAGAAGCCCTTACACGCACGTTGAAGGATGTTTAGTGAGTGGCTGAAGCGATAAGCTGGCTCGGTTGAGACGGGATCATTCATCAAAGCATCGGAAAGCTTGTAAGCAAAAGCCATAATCCGCCGCATCCCCTCAATCATTCATGGCCATAGAGACTGCATCTTTGATTACCGCATCATCAAAGACGCATTAAAGATGGCAAGTCAAGTGCATATTCACAGCCGATCCAGGGTTCTTTTCCTGAATCTTCATTTAGGTACCCTTAAAAAGTGAGAGCAATATCATGACAGACAGCGGTATCGTCTGTTCCCCGTTTCCCATTTTCTTTCCAACAGAAATACGTTTATCTACTCTGTGACGTGCATTGGACGAACCCGGACACAAAAAAATAAAACTCCTCTCAGCACGTAGGCACCAACATAAATATGCGTGTGCGTGTGAACCGACATGCCTGAACCGCACCATGTCAGCTTGCCGCAGAAGCCACAGTGAAACGTGCATAGGTCGCCTTGCCGCTGAGAGGCCGGGCCCCACCAGCAGGTGGGGCAGGGGCACCCGTAATACGTATGTGCGACGCCACGTGTTGGAATGTGCCCGGTGGGCCTCGGCGCTGGCTCGCCGTGACGCCATCGGTGATCAGTGGGCAGTGGTCAGCGGCGCTGAGGCGTCACTGGGGCGTGCTGGCCGGTGGTCATGCGTGACAGAACAGTGATCAGCAATGAAAAGACCACTGGTCAGGGACGGAAAGACCAATAGTCAGGAACGGAAAGAGAAAGATCAGTGATAACTGATGGAATAAAACATTGGTAAGGGACGAAAACACCAGTAGTACGGGACGAAAAGACCAATAGTCAGGATCGGCCACATATAAGTCCGTCCTGTAAGGCTGGGAAGTGGAGGAACCCCACAAGGTGAGTAAACAAGGTGAGTAATATTGCAACATGGGGAACCAGCATCCAACGATATGATTCAACCCGCTCGCCGGGCCATGGCGGGGCGCTCGTCCAATGATCAGTGCAGGATGTTAGAGCCTAGAGGCCTGAATGGTGTCCATCACCACCGCGCTGAAGGTCAACTGAACCGCCGCCCCGCCCCGGTGACCGATAGCTCAATTCGTGTCACACTAACACCCTGGGAGCGGGGTTCCCCGGTGTCACATGACACTTCCAGGCACCCGGCGGCCACCCCGACGAAAGATCACGTGACTGACCGCCACCCCCTCCCCCCTCCCGACTGGGTCACACGGCGCCCCGGACCGCCTCATGCCTATGACCGTGACCATCTCAGTCGCATGACAGATATTGTCTGTCATCTGGCCATGGATGGTCGGCTGGCTTCACTTCCGGATTCTCGCTTGCGAACTTTCAACCAGAAAATGACCTTCTTAGAAAAGGAATGCGTCAATCGTGCCCCGAGGCAGATGGATCCCAGCTTCCGGGATCTGGAGAGGGATCCCGGGCGAAGTCTTCACCCCGGAGGCGAGACATGTGAAGGGAACAACGTGGATGCCTTATAGTACCCTCGGGCAATGTTAGCCAAAGCGCCAGCGGTCGTGTGCAGCAACAATCGACCTGCCCGGCCACATTGGGACGGTTAGATTATGAGAGTCGTGTGAATTTCGTAAATGCGACGGGGAATTCGGCCTGGGCCTTTTTTTCTGTGGGATCGAAAAAAAAAACGGAACGTTTTAGAGAAAGTTCGGAAGGACGTCGTTTATAGGTCGGCTGAACGATAAAACCCGATTTAATAAACTCGTGTTATAAGAGACTGAGCAAAAATGAAGATGGAATAGCCGAGTATCGCGCTATCATGTGCACAACAGTTGAATATGTAAGAATTGTATGTACTCATTTTCCTTTCCTTTCAAAACGTATTGTCGAATGTCGAACACCACCATCGAATAGAAATATACCGAGACAATAGCGTGGATATTGGATCAAAATTTGGAACAATAGCCAATACGATTGAAAACTTTCCGGGAATGAAAGCGTCATAAATATGCCCTTCTTTAGGTACCGGCAAAAATACGCATATGCCTTGAAGTACGCGAGTGCGCCGACAAATAAAATTGTTAGCACACACTCAATGTATGAGATGATCAAGTCAGCGGTAGCCGGTAGCACTAACTCGTAAACATGCACATCAGCCTCTAGCGCCGATTATGCAACATGCATGCCTTGTCGAGCCTGTTACGTGTTCATCCGACGAAGTATAAGCTGCACGAATTTAATTTTAATTCAGTGGCGGCGCTGAAGACTTGACAGGGCAAGCACTAAGCAGGCAAAGTGACTTCGAATACACGGCACAAATTATGGGTTCCTGTGCACCGTAAACAAAACACGGCCAAAAAGAGGGCTCACGTAGTTTTCGAGAGATTCTAATCGAGAGTAGGTACTCACCTCCGACGAAATTTCGCACGGCTATCTCCATGCTCGCTCCTTTGTGCTCTCCCGTTGGCACGCGACCGCCCGCCGACCCTGCACCACCACAACTCGGGTCCCTCTGTCGGTACACCACCTCCCGCACCGCTGACACCGGCGCCACTGACTCCCGGCGCCCGGGCGGCCGGCTCGGCGGGGGGGCGGAGGCCCGCCGCCAGCTACCCCACACAGCGCTGCCCCCGCCCCCGCCGCGGCCGGCTACCGTCCCCCGACCGCTCAGCGGGCGACGCGAGCGCCACGCGGTGGCAGAAAGGCAAACTGGTGGTTCACCCATCGCCTGTCTTTCCAGCATCACTCCAGACTCGGATTCAGTATCAACAGTCCTTTTACAAATGATTCACTAGTGCTACATTGCTTTCTATGAATCCGATTGCACTTTTGTTCCCATGGCCCCGCCCCTTCGCTGCATAAAGGACGAAGTGGAAAGCCAGGGTAATTTACCCCTTGAATCGTGATTCACTTTTAACCACAGCTCGCATTATCCTTTTTTTTTTTGCTCGGTCGGCCTAGTGCCATTCCCGAGCAGGGGGCAGTTACTCCGGCAATTTTCGCCGGACAGCAAGTGTTACGTTAAGCATTGTTCGATCGGGTGTAGGTATTGTTTGTGCACTGTGCAGTTTTATTACAGTTTTCCTATGGGCTTTGGAAAATTCGTTGAGGTGTAATGTAGGAGTTACTTCGAACATAGAATCCGCTGGGCCTGGATAACCGATTTCCGGGACGTCCCGCATTGCCAGCGGCTTTCCAATAACGGTCCTCAGCTCACCACTCCCTTAGGAACAAACACCATGGATAACCGAGTAACGTGTATTGTAGTTCGATGATGCGACTGTCTTCACTGGCAATCTGAACGCTGCGGTCGCCGGGGCGCGCGCGGCCCGCGGCTCTCGCCCCTCCGGCGCCTGCCCTGACGTCAATACCCGCCTACTGCAATCACTCGTGGCCGTGGCCCCATCCGGGTACAATGTCATGAAATCGCCCCCCCCCCCCCCCCCCCAGCAATCTAATCCGTCATCACGAAACTCCACAAACGATCCTCCACTCGACACCAGCTCCTGGCAGCATCGGTATGCCTCGGCACCGCACAAACAAACAATCAGCGCCAGCCGGAGTCCTAGCCGCTCCGAGCCAAGTCCCGATACATGGATCAAGTAGTCGCCACATCACATCTAGAACACTACAGGTATCGCAGGGAGCGACGAATACCAGATACAAATAGTAACAAACGACTCGTCTGGCAGGATCGTCCACGACTCGTCTCTCACTCTCACTCGCTCCACCGCTTTTCATACACACACAGTGCGTAAACGATACACACGCGCTCTCCGCCGTGCGCGGCGCTCTTCATCAGACCGACACAGGCACACTCAGACTGACACACGCAGACACAGAGTCCGGGCGGAGGTCACAGTGGTGTACGGGCACCGCTACCGAGTCGACCGGCCGCCGGCGGCCGGCCGACCCGCCCTGCTGCCCAGCTGCCTGAGAACGCTGGCGCGCCGCGCGCCGCGCCGCCACTATACCAGGCCGGCGTCCTTGGCCATACTGTAGAAGGCCGAGCTCTTGTCTGCCAGCAGCTGCGACGGCGGCGCCATCTCCTTGATGCGGCCCGCGTCCAGCACCATCACCCTGGCGGCCGGGGAGAGTCGGTCAGTTCCGGGGTGAGGGACAACATAGCGCACAATTGAGCCATCAGTCTAATGACCGAGGAACTCGGCGAGTCCGTACCCCGGGTGAGTGACGATTCGCTGCTTAACCAACACGCCGAGCTACACCTACATCATGCGACGATTCATCACAACTTTTCTACCCACGGATCCCAATTACTTCACAGCCCGAGACCAAGCTTGACGCTAGTCAATGGTGCATATCCCGTACCCTCCCTATGCCTTACTGAAACTTTTAGATAAACGCGGCCCCTTCCCGTCCCTAACCGAAGCTCCCCGATGATGTAACCCCTCCTCCGTCCGTACCTGGTGCTGTCCATGATGGTGTTGAGCCGATGCGCGATGGTGAGCACCGTGCAGTCGGCGAACTCGGATCGGATGGTGGCCTGGATCAGGTCGTCCGTCTCCAGGTCCACCGCTGCAGTGGCCTCGTCCAGCACCAGAATCTTGGTCTTACGGAGCAGCGCGCGGCCCAGGCAGATCAGCTGACGCTGGCCAACACTGCAGGGCACAAGTTAGGTCAGGTCAGGTTAGCAGCGCGGCCCAGGCAGATCAGCTGACGCTGACCCACACTGTGGGGGACAGGGGTCAGGTCAGGTCAGAGCGTGGTACAGGCAGATCAGCTGACGCTGACCCACACTGTGACACAGCTCAGGTCAGAACAGTAGAGACTCGACAGCTCAGCTGCCGGCCCACCGGATACATGATGGTAAAGAAGGTCAGATGGTAAAGAAGCGACGCACCTCGAAAGCCACTGGGCCACAGTATTTAGGCCACAATATTGGATAATATCTCTTACAAAAAGATCCCGTACCTGACCCGAGGTCGATATCCCATCGCAGCCTTCGGCCTTAGATCCCCCTATACCTTCCCGTCCATGACGTGTGGTTAGGATCCCGTCCAAGCTTCTGACCTGAGGTCAGGGCCCCAGCCACTGACCTGAGGTTGCCGCCGCCCTCGCTGATCTCATGCTGCAGCCCGGCGGCCAGTCCCTTGACGAACGTCTTCAGATGGGAGTGCTCCAGGGCGGCCCAGACCTGGTCGTCCGAGTACTGGTCGAAAGGATCCAGGTTCTGACGCAGGGTACCCGAGAACAGCACGGGGTCCTGCCGGGGAGGAGAGGAGGACCAGTGTCACATTTGAGACGGGTGTGGATGAACGGTATCGCTTGAACTGATGTGTCATGAGCAAGTGTTTCAAAGTTAAATTTTGTTTTGAGAGTTAGAGAGGAACATTCTACCCAAAGGAACAAGGATGACGATGAAATGTTTCCGCTCAAATCAGTCATATGCCTAAATAATAAAGATGGAAAATCATCTTTTAAAAATACGCATACGAGAGGACAAAAGATGATAAGTGCAATAGAACTCTCAGCCACGCTAACGCCACACGCCGTGCGCCACAGCCGCTGACGCTCCGAGACACGCACCTGCGGGATGATGGTGATCTTGGACCGCAGGTCGTGCAGGCCGATGTCGCTGATGCGGATCCCGTCCAGCGTGATATCTCCGGCGGCCGCCTCGATGATGCGGAACAGCGCCAGCGTCAGTGACGACTTTCCGGCGCCGGTGCGGCCGACGATGCCGATTTTCTCGCCGCCGGCGATGTCGGCGTCGATGCCCTTGAGGACGAGCTCGAGTCCGGGCCGGTAGCGCGTCTGGTAGTTGTTGAACTGCACGCGGCCCGACTGTGGCCACTCGGGCGGCGGACGGGGCCGGCTCTCGTCCACCCAGACGGCCTCCTGGGGCGTCTCAGAGTACTCCTTGATGCGCTCGACGGCCACGATGTTGGTCTCGACGTCGGACGTCATGCGCACCAGCCAGTTGAGCGTCTGCGTCACCTGCATGGCGTAGGAGACGGACATGCCGACCAGGCCGACGTCGATTGAGTCGCGCGCCAGCACGGCGAACAGAGAGGCGAAGAAGGTGATGCAGGTGCCGATCATGTCCAGCCGGAACGACAGCCACCTGATGGAACGAGGGAGAGCGGGGGTCAGGTACAATCGGAGCATTGAGAAACATCTACAACGGTTACGTTAACTTGGAGGAGGGAGGTAGATCAGGGGTCACAGTGTTGCATTCGACGGCACAGTGGGAGAGAACAAATGTTTGTCAGAAGTCAGACAGAGACATGGAGGAAAATCATTCGCGAGCTTCAATTTCCAGTTCCGCGAGGGAGATGAAATGTCAACTGGTTGAGTCAGTGAGGTCAGGGAAGACGAGGCAGCCTGGACGGTGGACCAATTGGAACAGACAGCAATTGCAATGATTGAGATTTATGGGGTCCTAACGTCGATATCATTGGAGACGGTATTCGTGTGACGACATTGAACTGAGAGACGACGCAGTAGGTAATCAGAGGCGGACCACTGTAATGCGCTCCAAGAACAAGGTGAAATCCCAAGCCCCTTGCAGGTAGTTATGCCAGACGAACCTACATCAATCATCCGCCTTCCCCTAACCGGAGGCCGCATTGGAAATGTTGCCCGAATCTGCTGGCTGAAACTGACGGCCTTCCCGTGCTCTATGAATCTAAGATTATGTATAGTCCTGTGACCATTGGCGGTCTATTGGCGATCCGGTTAGCAGTGATTTTTCTGTCCAGGGTACGTGGTGAGTCGGAGCTCTAACAGCTGCTCACAGGGACAAGTTTTTCTTTAGCTCCATATGTCTGAGGTCTGGTGACCAATGGTGGTAATTTTATCCGCGGTTCTCACCTATTAGCGATCATGGACGGATAGTAGCAGGCCTGGTTGTCGTCCACCTTGGCCTCCGACTGCAGCATAAAGTCCTGCACCTTGCCGTAGGCGCGGATTGTCATGGAGCCTGGCGGGACACACAAGGGCAGGTCAGAAACGGCATCAGATTAAGAATTCGGGTGAGATAGCACAGAACAGAGCTTTGACAACGCTAATTGTATAAGCTAAGAAACTGCAGTTAACTGCAAAGGAAATTATAGCGCGCCAAAGCACCGGTAGGCAACGGCATTGTTCACCCACAGCTGATGCGACTGAGTGCAAAGAAAATGTTCCGTGTGCCATGAAATGCAACACCGCTACAACAGCAGTCAAGCCGGTTAGGCATCCCGCATCAGCTTGCGTTTCTCGTCCCGCTTAGCATACGTGCTACACCTAGCCGCCAGAACTGCACTGCCACTAACCTGTGATGGTCTCGGAAAAGTGTGAGTAGATGGGTGACCGAGAGACTGACTCGAGTCGCTTCAGCTGCCGCGAGGTGGACACGTACACCAGCTGCAAGGGACAGAGAAAGCGTCAGTCTCAGCGTTAATAGTCGACATATCAGGAGACAACGACCACTCTGCGAGCAGCTACACTGGCAAAATGTGAGAGAGAAACAGGCTTCGGTGCCTTGGACAAAGTTATACGCTCTAGGAAATGTACAATTTCACGTACAGTTGACACCGTAGTTGTGACATCCATGAAAGCTACGCAAGATCTATCTCTTCCCGACATAGGCTCAATTCGTTCCTGCGTTGCGTAAACAGCCATTCCAGCCTTCTTCCAGCCAGCGATAGCGTTACCCCCCGACAGACGGCGGTTACCCTGCTCCAATGGTCTACCCTGTTTTACCCTGCTCTGACTGACCTGCATGAAGTAGTAGACTCCGAGCAGAGGAATCACCACGGCCAGGAAGATGGGCGTGGCGTAAATGATGGCAAAGAACGTACCCAGCACCTGGAGAAAGGGGGAGGGACGGGGAGAAGAGTAGTTAGCCAGACTGCACTGCACTGATCTGCCACATCGTAATACAATCGGCACTGAGTAAACACAATCTTATTGGCAGTAGCAGAACTTATATCATGAAACCCAAAGTGATCAAAACCTAGAGAACTAAAAAAAAAAACACAGCACAAATTGTTTGAGAAATGATGCAGCCAAGTCATGTATCTCGTTCAATGGAAACACATTTTACGTAAGGCTGCTAACGACTGCTACAATAAGCAAGCAACGCGCCCAGAGACGGACAAAAGCCCATGATATAGATGGTAAACAAACTGGGCCACCCCAATTTATGACGGACCAAACAAGAACCCAACATATCGCATCTCCCCAGTACGCCCCACCACGTTCGTAGCTATTTGATCTGCGAAAATAAAGCCTCCTTTCCGTCAAGCCGTTTGACAGGACGAGCCACCAGTCACCGTCGGAGAGCCTGCATTGCCACCTACACACAGACGGCAGAGAAACCGGCGGACGGACTGATGAAAGCACCAAGCAAGAAACGCTGAAATACGAGAGGCAGATATTGACGGACTGACAGAACTCAAAAACATGCAGACGGCACTCTCGGACGGACGAAATGACACACATATCCCAGGCGCCACCAAACCAATGTCTATTCCAACACGACGAAACGAGACGCTCCAACTTTCACGACGACGGCCCCAACACCGAGTCATCAGGACATCCCACTGCTCTCCGATGCCCAGAAAATGAGCGACGTCTCCGACCAGACTCAACAACCCACGTCACTCCCGAACTTTCAGCGAACACAAACTCCAGCTCCGGTCCACCGACCGCCACGGTCAACGTCCACCTACAGAGAAGAGACAGTTAATCCAGGAGCGGATGTTGAACGGCAGCGTGTTGTCCATCATGTCCACGTCCTTGCTGAACCGGTTGACGATACGTCCCAGCGGCGTGGTGTCAAAGAACGACAGCGGGTTGTGGAAGAGCCGCGACAGGATGTGGCTATGCAGAAGCTGAGACGCGCGCATCATGCCGTAGGCCATCACAATAGACGGGAAGAGCACGAACAGAGCTGCCGGGGGAGGTCACAGGGTCAGGCGGGGGTCACACACGGGTCACTGGGAGGTACAGGGGTCACCCTGGGGGAGGAGGGGCAGGCTTCCATGGTTCACTGAGGGAGGGGCATAGTCACTGGTCAGTCAATAGCTGTCACATTAGCATCGCGCTATAGCAGCCCGCAGCTAACGTCACTTACGACAACGAAGGTCATGATGAAGCCACGTATCACCATCGGCATCGTGTTGTCCAGCACGTCCACGTCCTTGCTGAAGCGGTTGATGGTGCGTCCGAGCGGCGTGGTGTCGAAGAACGACATGGGCAGCCGGATGACGTTGTGCATGAGATCCGAGTGCATGATCTGGGCGCCGATCAGCAGGCACGTGTAGAGCGAGAACGCGGCCATCACGGAGAACACGGCTGAAACGCAGACAGAAGCCGGACGGCCGCGTCGAGCAGCGCCCGAGCGCAGACAAACACGGGACGGAGCGGCCCCGACAGGACAACCCGGACGACACACACAGAAAAGTGGCGTCATACCACTGGCAGTTCAGAGGACGGGGGTATATCGGGTGGACGGACAATAAGTGATGACGGGGAAGGGGGCGAGACGGGAAAGGGCGGAGACAGGGGCAGGACAGCGAAGAGCGACAACTGGGACAGATATGGGACATTTACGGAGGGGTGGTGCATGAAATTTACAACCCAGCTGGCATGGAGGACAAGGCACACGGGCTGGGAGACTGACAGACTAGACAACACGGCAGACGACCATTGACCAGGGCGTAATGGTAACGCAGTACGAACCAAAGCAGTTTGGAATCGACAGCCGGAGACAGATCAGGACAACGACAACGTGAGACAAAGCACGAAGCAGACACCAGACTTTTTCATCATTCTTACCTTCTATCGCTTCCACTAAGCACACATCCATAAAAACTCATACCGCGACTATCATCAATAAACATTATTCACACGTCTTCTTAAGGTTGACCAAGGTTAACAGCCAACGAACGGCAAAGACCAGCACTGGTCCCCGCTACCGGCAGCCACTACCTAGCACGATCGTCTTGTATCGTGCGTCCACGCGTCCACCCCTCCGCCGCCACTCACCCTGTCCGAATCCTAGTGCTCCGTACACTCCCAGGTAGACGTTACGCGTGTGTGTGTCGTTGAAGTGTTCCACATCCTCAGTCCAGTTGGAGAGCCAGATGTTGGAGCCGACGCTGCACGCCTGTGGGGAGGAATGAGGTCAGATCTAGATAAGGAGAACAGAGCGACTACTGATGACGGTGTGAACTCACAGAGGCAGCCAAATTAGAATTTCCCTTCTGGCGTGTCGCCGGCGGTGAAACAAAACTGGCTACATTAATGTGTGAAGCAATAAACATTCATGATTACCATCAAACAATGTCAATTATAGGCAAACAAATGACGGATTACAAAAAAGGAGACTAGGGAAGACAGTGGGAGGGTTACAACACTAATAGGCCTTCCCCCTACATGTTTCCACTCGTACCTGCGCAGCGACGTACAACATGAAGGTGAGCATGGTGAGGAAAACGCCGACCGACTTCATGTAGTACCCGTAGACTGCCAGCTGAACCTGTGGACACAGAGCGGGCAAACAGCCGCGTTAGACGCTGTATCTATACCACATACACACACACACACACAAAAAAAAACGTCGGAGAGCTAATTGAATAACACACACCAGTAACATACGACCAAATCAACTGACCAAAACGGGGCAGAATGTGAAATAACGAATGGAAAATAATAATGGGATATAAGTGCCATGAGTTAGGTACTTCCACCTGCTTAAATGTCTAACAGTCATGTCCTTATATCAAAACATTCACCACAACGACCTACCACATTCGTCTCCATTCTCAGTCGAAAACCATCCACGTCGATACACCGGTGCCCGTAAAGATTCACCCACCTTTCCGGTCTCGGATTTTTCCACCTCGATCAGCTTGGCGCCGGCCTTCTGTTCAGTAGCGGGGGCGACCGGCTGCGGCTGCAGGGTCTGCTGAACGGCCTCGTCCTTAGTCTGACTGCTCTTACGGCGACGTAAGCTGCCGTTTCGCTCTCCGCTGATCACAGACGCCGACCTGGAGGGACGGGGTCGGCGGGGAGGGGTTAGCGGGTGATGGGACAGAGGCGGTGATATCAGAGGAGTATAGCATGGAGCAGAGTCAGTAGCTAGGTAGGTTATAGGATCAGAGAAGGGGAATTGTGACGAAATACTGTGGGTAACGTAACTGAGTGGCGGGCCGGGAACTTTCACTAGACTAGAGCTAAAGCCATCAGTAAATTAGGTAATAGGTATGCATATTGAACATCAAGTCGGCAGCCGCGGTCACAATCGTCAGACTAACCACGAGCAGTCTACTTCTTCCAGCGCAGGCACGTCACGGCTCATATCGAGACCTGGCGTCCTTTGTAGATCCAACACCTCAGCAGTGTCGCGTCTCTGCACTACATGACAGCACCGACGGCAAGACAGCTACACCGGTGGCATTCCTTGCCTGGCTGGTTCACGGACAGGGCGAGGGAACGCCTGCAGCCAGCGCTGCTGCGCAAGTATTAGGTGCCCGTGCAAGACGCCATGCAAAGCGCAAGGCAGAACGCAACTAGCAGCATAGAATGGTGCATGCTGATCATGTGCCTTTCGATGCGATCATGACGTGTGATGCGTATGCGCGTGATAGGGTGAGGCTCCTATTTTTGTGGCTGTCGGTATATTAGCCGATAGTTAAATCGGCTCAGAGTATGTGGCCGTGCAGAGACTCCATGCAGCACGCAGAGGAAGGGACCGAGTGAACATTACCAACCTGCTGCTCTTCACTTGTATCGTGTGGACCGACGTGATCGAGTGCCGAGAGCCGAGCAGTTCGGTCACCTCGTCACTGTAACCGGTCAGGTGGGAGGGTTAGGGGATGGGCCGCGCACGTTATGAAGCCTGCCGCGGGAACCGGTACTGTCTTGGATACAATAGCAGGCGCGTACCAGCCAATACGGCACACCCAAGAGAGAAAGCCCATCACTCGTCGAAGCCCGCATCCAAAAGACGAATACCCCGAAAGCAGAAGCAAGAGTTAGACAAGCACCAATTTAGACATCACACAATATCAGCAGGATCTTCATGGCAGTAAGCTGCACATTCACTCACTCAAAACACATGCTTTTAGTTCGCACCTTCGCCAGTTATTTCAAACCCAGTTATACAGGACAGGATAGCCTGACACCAACACCTGGCATCGCCCTGTAGGATCACCCTAACACAACAAACCATCACCGTTACACTCGCACCTCCACCTCCAACAGACACCGTGTGTGAACCCCTCCACCCACACTTCCGTCGAGTAAAGCCCAGTTCACACCAGCCCAGTGGTGTCCGCTCACCTCTTCAGTTCCGGTATACTGCCGTCCTCGCTGGGACACTCGGACTCGCGTTTGACGCGGGACATCTGTCGCTGCAGCTCCTGGCGGCCCATAGTCTCCTCCAGCTGGTGCTTGATCTCATCCAGTTCTGTCGAAACAACAAGGCGAGGTGAAGAGAGACATAAGGGGAAGAACAGAGGCTTCAAAGGCCACCTTTAGGTATGATGATACACGTTCAGTTATGGTGGATTGATAGTAAGGTTGCGGCCGAGAGAATCGAACGAATGCATTGAGAACCACCCCAAATGCCACGGCGCAGGCCTGACAATGCACAGAACCGATGATTTCCTGGCGTCAATCCCTTTTGACACGGAATCACCCTCTGGAATTGAGCGATACATGTGTACGACTCAAATAGCAAATAGAGTTCGCAGTCGGAATAGGCGAGATGGAAAACTCAGCGAGTCAGCTGCGTATGTGAGCTGCGTAGCCCAGTTGTAAAAGGAATTGATGAGGTGAAATCGGAGGCGGTACAAATAGACTCGCTGTGATGTGTACCAACTGCAATCTTGTTAACATCCTTTTATCCGGTAACTCCATACCTAGATCATCAAATGAACTAATCTCACTTTCCTGTCCAATGTCACTGGAAAGGTGTAGTTGATCTCCTTAGAAACTTTTCACAAAACATGCTGATGAGCAGAGTATTCTTAGCAAGCCCCCAAATGCCCAGTCTTAGATGGGAGTTGAACTACAACTAAATACGTCTGATAAAATATGCAGCAGGTTCTTGCCTTGAGAACCGTCATCCTTAAATACTGAGCTTCACCAACTGAAGCTTAAAAACCGTCACCAACCAAACATAATAACCCCAAACGAGGCGCATCGGTACCACGTAGTAGCCTTCGATCATTTCCAAAGAAACAAAAATACGACTTCCTAACCAAAACTACGCCCGAACCGGACTATAACTACGTCCCGAAAAAGGGTGATCTCCGCTGCTTCTCGGCGTTTGTGGGATCGTCGAGAGTTTTGTACTTATGCGCTCGGCAGTCAGAGGTAGAGCGACGGAGCGGTGGGGAGCCCCCGCTCCTCTGTCCGACGGAATTGCGCGCGCAGGTCCGCCGTTCGACCCTGCACAGTGCGGCAGTGAGAAATAGAAGACGGGAGGTTCGGCGGCGGAGTTGAGTCGTCCCGTGTGTCCCCGCCGATAGATACCACAGACGCCAGTTGTGAATTACGGAGGATCAGCCGATAATCATGGCTAGGGGTGATGCGAAGCTTAACCAGCACAAAGTGTTAAAATTGATGGCTATAATTTAGAGTTTGGACATTAAACTTCGATCCCCACGCATAGGCCTAGTTTCGACTTTCGTCTCGCCTTCCCCTGCATTCCCTAACATCACTGAAGTTACATCCGTCGCAGAAGCCCCAGTCACTGAACATGCCGCATCTCTCTCACCCTCTACGTCCTCGTCTTCGCCGGCCTCTGTCAGGTACTGGAGCAGGAACTCGGAGAAGGCGCCCTTGTTGTCCATCAGCTGCTTGTAGGGCCCCGTCTCCGAGACGCGGCCCTCCTTCAGCACCGTGATTGTGTCCGTGTACGGCAGGTAGGTGATGCCGTGCGTCACCAGAATGCGAGTCTGTGAGAAGGGAGAGACCGCTTAGAACAGGTCACAAAAGGTCCCACATCAAAGGTCGCGGGTCAACAAAAGAAGGACAATGTTAAACAAGAATCAGTGGATAAAACGGAGAGAAACGAGAATCTTTCTTATTCGTTTTGCTTGCGATTCTCCCGGCTATGATGCTCAGCAGACGAGCAGATGGAGCTGCTAGAAATTACAAAGACACATGACTCCCTGCTGGACCAGGAGTCATCACTCCTCATCACCACAGCAGACTGACCTTTTTGCTGAGCATACCCTCGGGCCCGATGACGTTCTCGAATATGTGTTTTCCGACGTGTGAGTCGACGGCCGACAGCGGATCGTCCAAGAAGTAGATGTCACTGTTACTGTAGACGGCGCGAGCCAGCGCCACGCGCTGCTTCTGGCCACCAGACAGGTTGATACCCTGTGGAGGCAGAGGGCGGGTCAGAGGTCAGAGGTCAACGGTCAGGGAGATAACAATATGGTCAGAGTATGAGAGTAACGTTCTATGAAGGCTAGCTCACACAGGTGGAAATGGTCATCTGTACCATGAGTCTGCCTATTGGAAGTAATCTTAAGTCTGCCATCCATCCACTCAACGGCATATGGAGAGATTTAACTTTTAGCCTTAAGCTTCGGTATTTATTTCCACGTGCACACTGCAAGACAATCCGAACATGTTGCGAAGCTTGCAATCTTGTCAATATTGCGGCTACATAATTCCCTGCAGTCATGAGCATTGAGCAAGGCCGTGCGACTACTCTACTTTCCCCAAAATTCGTACCTTCTCGCCGATTTCTGTCTTGTCTCCGCCGGGCAGCATCTCAAAGTCGCTCCGCAGCGCGCAGGCGTCCACACAGCGGTTATACAGGTCCTCGTCCAGCGTGCGGCCGAACAGGATGTTATCCTTGAGCGTGGCGTTCTGGATCCAGGCCTCCTGCGCCACGTACGCCACATTGCCCTGTGGTGCACATAGACGGGGATGGGTCAGTGCGCTATATTTGTCCCAGTCAGTTGAAACAGAAAACACACCCAATGGTATAGGCGGTTTTACCATTCACAACATGAGAAACATTAATCATGGTAATGAATGGTAATGGAGAATCAATATTGAATGAAATGGATCACATAGTTCGTTGGCTGCAAACATAAGGTTCACGGCACTTATTCACAACGATAAACACGTGGGCCTCCAATTTCAATTCATTCAGCTGTCGGTGAATATTTCCGTCATACTATATCCACCTATATACTATAATTCCTTCTGTGCTAAATTATATCCTTAGGATATGGCTTATAACCCATGTCCCTCAGCCCTTCCCCGTCCCGCCACCGACCGCCGTACCTTGGTGTTGACGCGTCCGCCGACCTTCTCCATCTCTCCGAGCAGCGCGCTGAGCAGAGACGACTTGCCGGAGCCGACGGTGCCCACGACGGCCACCAGGCTGCCCTCCTTGACGCGCATGTTGATGTCCTGCAGGTAGGGCGTCGACTCGGGGTCCCACGTGAACGTGCCGTTCTCCACCACCACCGGATCACCTGTGAAGGGAGCGTCAGAGGCGTCAGAGGTTAGACAGGCGATACAGGGTCGGATAGGGCTCGACAGTCTGCCCCCGGGACGATTTAATTCCTATCAATTATTGTATTACTGTGTTATGCATAATAGATTCACCGTAGCCGTCAGGTTAACAAAAACCTCTAACGTTTAGCATGAGAGACACTCTTCTTTCCAACCAGCATCGGGTAGCATCTGCCCGCAAAAGCTTTTAACGTAAAAAGTAAGACTACTTCCACAGATTCTTGGCTCCGAAGGACTCTAATGGACACTCCCAAGGCACTCCGACGGCACTCACTCTCGGTGGTGTCGTGAGACACGGCCTGGTCGTCCAGGTCGTCACTGTTCAGGTACTTGTTCATACGCGTTAGCGACACGTTGGCCTGGCAACGGTGGAATAAACAAGTTAGCAGGGTGAGTCATGAGCAAAGATGGACGCCGACGAACTCAACTGAATGGCCATCTATTAACTTCAAAACATTGTAGGCCTAAAAGGCATTAGTCAGGCTTCCTCAGAAAATACAAGGCATCGAAATAACTCTTAGGGGCTTAGGAAAATAAACCAAATAAATCAACAAATAAGCAATTGACACAAATTTACGAATATGGAAGTACGTTGATAAGCTTGCCAAAGCAAACATCAAGTAGTAAAAAAAAAAAAAAAAAAACAAGGGGACGAATGATTCGATTCAAAATCCTTCTTACGAAATCAAAGAAGGCAAAGGAAAGAAGAAAAACAACAGGACTAATACCTATGCACGGGAAATAATACATAAGTAAGCAACGTAAAGCATTTACAGAAGCAAAACATGAGCTACCAGCATGCAGACCAACAAATACATAACCAGCTTAGTGTAATAACTCACCAGCCGAGCATGCGAAGGAATGTGTTAATTGCATCGGGGCAGTGCGAAAAATGCGCCGAGAAAACAAAATTGTTTACAGACAAACGCTGAAAAATGTGTTGAGGCCTTAAGGCTAACTAAGGGCGAAAAAGAAAAGAAAAACAATGTCGCAACGAAATGTAGTGTCGTTTTATTCTTAAAAAAAAAAAAACAGAAAGAAAGTTGCTTGCAGTTAAAAAGATTCTATTTTTTAGCATGTTAGTAGGTTTGTAGACCTCAATCCTCCCTTAAAAAATACTGCAGGGTCATTTACCCAGCATTCCCTCGGTAAGTCAGGCTCATAGCCGGCCTATCCCCGCTGTGTGATGTCACCAATGATCAATGACGTCATCAGTCTGACGTGACGTCACCTGTACGGCGCTGATGGTGATCATGGGCAGCATGGAGAGGGGGAAGCGCAGCGCGTTGAACAGCGCCAGCGCCACGAACGCGCGCCGACTGTCGAGTACGTTATCGGAGTCGACCAGTACGTAGGTGGCGAACGACGCCAGGCAGACCTGCCGGGGCGGGCAGACGGCACGACGTACAGCGGACGGCCGGACGACAGGAGGACGCCCGGACGATACCGGCGGGACGGCCCGACGAGGGGGAGGGACGAGACACACACACACATACACACAGACGGACAAATGAGGACGGACGACGGCAACACACGATACCAGAACACCCCAACAGCCGCTCATCTGAGACAGTGCCTTGCGGCATATCAGCTCTCAACGTAGATCTCTGGGGACGGCTTCTCATCCCGTCAGTCAAGTCAAGCCCAGGCCCAGACATAACAGACATTCCCACAAAACGCATCAATGATGGCCGGCGCTGGTTTCGCCCAAAGCACAGCTCAACCCAGACTTGGCGACCTAGGCCAGCGGAACTCGACTTCCAGGACAAAAGACGACCCGAAGGCAACTCCCAAAACCGGAAAAAGGACCACGCAGCCTCCAGGACTGACCAGCGCCCCAGAGACTCAGCGACTCGTCGTCTACCTGTACTGTGAAGACGATCAGCATGGGGAGGAAGCTGAGAGGCATGCGCAGCAGGTTGAACAGCGAGAGCGACACGAACGCCTTGTCGGGCGTCAGGTAGTGGGGGTCGACGTCGTCGCCCGTCAGCACGTACACGGCGAACGTGATCAGCGTCACCTGCAGACACGTGGCAAACGTGGTTAGTGATAGCTGCAGACACATGGCAAACGTGGTTAGTGATAACTGAAGACTCGTGGCGCACGTGGTCAGTGAAACCTGCAGACAAGACAGTCAGAATCCCCTGCGGACCAGAACACGGTCAATGGGCTTCAGAAGTCATGATGAGCCGGCCCGCTTCGAAGGAATACTGGTCAGAGGCCGGGACCGATGATATTGACGGCTCCATGGGTCTTGTAAGCTTGGTGTGGAGTCCAATACCGGCATATGGAGCGGTTGTCAGGTGCTAGTATCGACGTGCCATGGGTATTGATTGTCTTAAGGCTCGGCCGGCCGTAACAGCCAGCACTAAATGCTAGAATAGTCCGCCCCTGCCGTGGAGCTACCGGCTAAATGAACTGTAAAACGCATCGCTTTTCAGACGAGACGGACACGCTCGTCACCAGTATAGAAGCCGCGCCAACCGAACAAACTGGCTAAAAGAGCAGGCAGTTGGTCAGTCGCCGATGGAAACAAACTCGGATAGACAAATCGATAAATCGACCATTTCGACCCTAAACGCCAGAATTGTTGTGACTTTGGTCGACTGTTTGTGAAAACTTCTGATGTATATTTACTGACGAGTGACGACACAGTGCACCTCATCGTTCGCTGGATAGTGGCAGTCAAATGCAGCCTGAAACGATCGATCTGTGGGGCGTTGTGGGGCGACCGAAATAACAGACCTTGCCCGAACGATATAGAGGTAATAACGATACACCTCTTTGAATGTTTTTATTTCTTTTGAAACGTTTAACGACCAGTGAAGCCGGCTATAATACCACAAGCATTATAAAGTAGCTTGCAGTGACACTAGTCACGTTCATTACTTCCCTCGCCACCCCACCCCAC